GAAATAAATTCCAAACTCACTCTCTCTCTCTCTCTCTCTGGGGCGCGCGGCCCCCTCGTCATTAAAATTCGACCAAAATTCACGCAACGCTCGCGCGACTATAAGCTATTGCCTCTCGACTTGTCCGCTACAGCCTAGTTCGGGGCGGCTGAGACGTTTGAAAGCTCTCGACGACTAGATGGGATGCGAGTCTCGGTGTGCGCGAGGCTCGTCAGAATCGGAAGCGTATTGAACGATTTGGCCGCCTCTCTCGCGCGCTCACGTGCCACGACGCCAAGAGACGCCATGCAGATACAACTATTTTACCCGTTTTAGCGCCCCTTCCCCTACGCAGGCAGCCGATCAAGCTCTCGTTTTGTTGCGTTGCTTGCGAAATAATAATCGCGCCCCGAGTGATATAAATATCTTGGCCGAATTTATCATTAAGAATAACAATTTATACTCGATAAAAGGTTTAGTACTTTCAAGGATTTACACGGTGAAACTAAATTTGTAAAATTTACACGAGTAATAGATTTCCATTTGAAATACGCTGAGTCAAAATTACACATCTGGATCCGTGCAAAATTAATGACAATGTATTTAAATGAGAACAATACGCTTGCCTTGTTTAATTTTACACAGTTGGTTTTGTCGTAACTCTGGCCAAGAAAGTTACGAAGCTTATAAATAGCCGTCAATTAATAAAACGTCAATCAGATTGCTTTGTTAGAGAAGATAATGAAATATTTTGATTCTATAATTCACGTTATTACCGCGCATGTGCAGCTATAGCCGTGCATAATTTAACTATTGAAATATTGAACGATTCAGACTTATAGACAGTTGCTTTATGTGAAAATCCATTAAGATATTCGGCGCAGAGATCGATTCCAGCGTCTCCCGAGCGAGGCAGTATAGGTCCGATTCTGCGTGCGCGCGTCAGGTTAGCGGGGACATTTGAAATGCCAGCGAGGCCCGGGGCAACGGATAAAGGTGTCAAGACTATTACGGCGGTTTTGACGCGCGACCGGCCAAACAAGAGCATTTAAGCCGCGGCGCCGCTTCTTAGGTTGTTGTTGCGAAGAGCATGTGTTGACTACAAATAACTCGCGAGCCGCGAAGCAATTGTGTATGAGGCGCTTGTAGCGCGCTCGGCAACGAGTGCGAGCTAGCGCGGCTGTAGCCGACTGCTTGCCCAGTAACCTCACGTGTTACTCATAAAGAACCAATTCTTATCTAATACACCATATAAATTCAGGATCAGAGTACCATTTCGTAGTGCAGATCTTCAACGTAATCCGCGAGACCCCCTCCCACCCCCCCTGCTTCGCAACGTGATTGTCCGTCGCTGGAACACTGACCGTTCTAACCCCTCCCCCGCACACACTCACACGCACACACGTATACATTTTCACCTTACCATTTCGGACTTGATTTTTTGCGATTTCCCTCCCTGTTGCTTTTAATAACGCCTTTTCATCTATTATTTATATCAATCAATTCGTGGCTTTTATCGCGCACTCGATGTTTATTGTTTTTTTTTTTTCGCTGCGTCCAGCTAGCGGCATTTAATTTATTTGCGTTGAGACACCTTGCTCATACTGAAAAAACGCCTTTCGCTTAGACAAAAGGAAAAATCGGAGAAAGAGCGATACATTTCTTGCCGATAGAACTTTTTACCGGTGCGAATAAAAAATTTTAGAGTTCGAGAAAACGTGACACGCCGACGAATAGTTTTCCAGGCATTACAGGACTTTATCTTGTAAGATTCGTTACAAAAATAACCAATTTCGGCGATGCGACATTATCGATATTACAAAGGCAAATTACACAAGTATCTCTATCAGAAATATTTATCGTGAAAATTATATTCTTCGGTCTATAATTAAATTGATGAAAAGAAAAAGTTCTTTCTGACTGTACACTTTTCATAAATGAATATTCCATTTACGGGCGTTCGGTTTTTCGGCAATCGTTCGTAACTCAGAACCTTGTATTACCGTCGAAAAAGATGAACGGCCAACATCGCTTTCACTTTGCTGTTAAATAGCCTGGCCTTCTTTGGCCTTGAAGTTCACGCGAAGACACCTTATACAATCCTTTACATGAGTCGAAGCAAAAAAGTCGTGCCAGCTGACTTCAGACCTACAAGTACTATCAGTAAAAGAATAAATTAAAACACCCAAGAAACAGAAATTAATGAGTGCATAAATAAGTCTCAATCTACATGTTATGCGCATTTACTTGTTGTCTGATAGTATTAGACAAATTGTAAATAAACATGGAGTAATAACAAAAATTGACTTCGAAAAACAATTTATTTGCTTTTATTTATTTTCAAACTATTTGTTGACAATTGGTGTTATTTAGTATTGCTAGTGTAGTCAAGCGCGCCTCGCGCTTTCATTTTTCGTTTGCATTGATATCCAGTTTCATGCTTGAATCAAATTAAAATTGTTACGGACGAAATAAAAAATTCTAAATTACGACAAACGCATAAAGCGATTCCATGTTCTGGCCAACAACCGTCGATGTTATTTGGTAAATAAAAATCCTATCGCGTAATTGATATTCGGAGATTTTATTACAATTTCATATCTAATAACGTAGCAAATGCTTAGGTGTTTAGCTATGGATAATGGGTAGCGCGCCAAGTTTGTTTCTCTGTTTTTTATTTCTAAGTAAATCGAATCAGCCTTATCTCGCGATTTAATTTTTTTTATTTTTTAAAAATCTCAAACTTTTACTAAGATATCTCTATAAATAATTTATCGATACATGATTCTTTTAATTTCTGGTAATTATAATTATACGAAGCAAGAATTTGTAACAAATATATTTAAATAATTTATACGTCCGGAGATAAATCTTACTTATTTGTTGAATGTGTCAGTTGCGGTGTTATTATTATTATATTATATCTAAACATGGATATATATACAAATACATGATTTACCGACTTTTATTTATTCATTTTTTGGCATATTTTCTTCTAAAATACAAATTGGAAGACGTTTCTACTTAGGCTAATAAATGGTTATTAGATAATAAAGCGAAATACGGTCGACTCGTTAATGAACTCAACAAAATGTTTATTTCCGTAGCAACGTTGCATGGTGACTGTCTATTTTTCTCAGATAAAATTATTGATCCAATTTTCTTTTAAAAATATTATTTTTGTTAATTTTAAGTGTGTACGTCCTCCGATGCGTATTTTAAGAGAAAATATGCCCCGAAAAAAAAGTCGACAAAACAGATGTATGGCATCCCCTTAAGGTTAATAGGTCATCTTTCTTCCTTATTTTTTCTTTCATAAAAAAGAGAACCTGACAAAGTGAAGCCAGTTTATTCGTGATTTATGATTGGCTAAAAGATATAGTCGTGTGATCAGCTATTATGGTATAGTGTATATGTATTATATACACTCATAACAAATTACTACAGCATGAATTTAATATGAATTGATTGATTCGTTGATTCCTGTTAACCTCAAAATGGAAACCGACTGATGTCTCGATATAGAAATTAATCGAACTTTGCTTTAGTGGTTTCGGTTGTATTAAGTTACGTGAAATGTTACAAAATTTTTAGAAAAATGCATTTATTACAATCGTGATAAATGTCTACTGAAATATGATATTTACGTGCGATTATAAATTATTATAATGTTTTTAAAATTTACATAATTTTTTTTCATTGATAACATTATTTAATTACAAGTAAAGTAACTGCATGTTTATTTAGTAATAAATAATATCGTCGGTTATACCTCATATCAAATTATATTGAATTTTCAAATTTTCAATTTCGCCAATAAAAGTTTTGATCTACAATCGTGCATTAAAACAAATGAAACAAAAACTGAGGAAAAAGATGAGTGCGTGAGGCACGTTAGACATCACTGGGTACGTCATAAATATCGAATCTTATGTTTCTTCATTTGCTGATTAATAGTATATTTAAACCGTGTGATGTAAATTCGTACACGTACTTGCCGAACAAATTTCATTGATATAATATCAGCGGTTATCCGATGCGATTAGCATTAACTACTTTCGACACCTTGCAAACAAGGCTTTGTACCCACTAGCGACAATTACAAGTGCTCGATAATAATTTTAATTGGAACATGTCGACTGGATAAAGTAAGTAATCCCAACGCAAAGTAAATAAGTGACTAGGACATCTGGAAATAATATTGTTTCTCTTTCCTCGCGTAAATAAAATATGCAATTGACAAACGCCTAAGATTTATTGCAGCCCGTAGATTTACTAGAAATGAAGTGACAGCAGCAAAACAGGCGTAGCAGTTCTGATGGGTGTGTAAACGAGAGATGATGAAAGAAAACGAGAGAAGAAAAAAGAGAATAAAATAATCCTCTATTTAAGGCACTTCTCGAGTGCGTCAACTTAACGAAAATATACGTTAGTCTCGTGAAGCGTGTTGGGATGAAGAAGTGCGAGGGCGTGAAAAAGATCTCGGACGCGAGAGTAGGGGGGAGGGGGGGCAGAGAAGGGTATGGCAGGAAGGAAGGAGAGGAGCCCGCTGCGCTCGTGCGGTGGAGGCGATCGTCTTTTGTCCTAAGCCTCGCAGGGTATATTAATGTGAAGAACATGTTACAAGTACGAACAACGAAGGAAAGAAGCGAGCGCGCGGCGCGTCCACGGAATACTAACGATCTATCGCCAAATCTCTCGAAAAAGACCTCGTTTAACGACACGTCTTTGCATTTTAACGGCATTTCTCGCTGCTTAGTGCCAGTCCTAACTTTTTCTCGTAAAAATAGATGAAAATCCCCTGCTCCCGCAGCCCGTGTGCGCACCTCGCAAGGCACATACTTTTTGTTACTCTCTCTCTCTCTTTCTTTCGAATTTCTCTAGCTCGTTACTTCGTCCTCTGACCTTTCCACGAGCGCCTACGTGTACCAACGTCATTGCCCGTGCAACTTCCCTTTTCGCCCCTGCCGAACTTGACTCTTCCACTCATCGTCTTCTCTGCTGTTTCTTTTTTTTTTCAGAATGACGACCTGGTATTCGATCACGACAGCAAATCGAGCGTCGACAGTCCCGCGGAGCAGCGTCACGAATCGCTGTTCGGTAGGATCTGGCAGTGGCTCAGCAGTGAAGCGGATTTCTTGACGCCATTGAAATTGGGTACTTAATTATGCAAACCTTGTCTTCTTTTCGTTTAATGCTTAATTCAATTTGTGGCTTTCATAACGCGATTTCAAAAGTTTTCCACGAAAGCGACGACAGTTGAGCGAGTTTTCTATATTTCAGAGGATTCTCGCAAGCCGCTGGAATCGAATTCGTTGACGAGCTCTAATAGTCGTCAAAAACGGCAAGCCAAGGAAGACAATGAAGTTATCAATGATGAATATAAATCTCGAAGTAATCAATATAACGTAAGTTAATTAAATACTTGAAATAATATCAATAGACCGCTTTAATTTGATTAGCATTCACTGTATAATAAATATAGAGTCTCCGAACCGAAGTTTTGAGATATTCAAATTCGTTCATGTTACAGTTTAAAGTTGTTTAAAAGATATAAAATAGAATTTATTTCAGTTCTTGCTATTATAATCTGCTATCGCTCGTTATAATTTCAATAATTATTTGTTTGCACGTATATATAGGAATATTCGTCGGTACAGCCAAAACTATCGAGCAAATATAACCAAGGTGACGATGAAGATGACGTGGGTTCCGGAGAATCCGAAGTAGATAGAGACGTGGAAGGTAGTGCAAACAATAATGACTTTCATACGACAGTGTCAGCGATTACCACGACGCCGACCACCACCACTACTACTACGACTACGACTACTACGATTACTACTACCAGTACTACCACTACTCATGGAAGTCAAGGAATTGAAACGAACCTTGGTGATGGAAATGAGTTTGATGAGAAAAGTGAGAATAATATATCGGTTTTCTTTGAAATTCATTGGAAGTTGCTTTAATCGATAACTGTTTTTCAGATGTTTATAGGATATCCATGACTATTAACGAGCCGTACAGAGCAGAATTCGATAGGCGAGACGATGACAAGTTCAAAAAGTTTGCTGAGAATCTCACAAGAACCGTCGAAGACATTTTACACCAGCATTTGCGCAGAGATCACCACGTTACTTTCGTCAAAATGGAGTGAGTCTTCTAGAACTTATAAACTTGCAAAAATAAATCTGAACGATCGTCTATGTTTTTTCTTATAGGAACGCTCCAGATCCATTCGAATCTCGCGTTAACTTGGATATCTCCACGATCAGCAGTGAATCTGACGTTCGAGACGAACTTGAAACCCATATTAACAAATATTATTCTTTGGGCAAGTTTACAGTCAATCCTTCTACCTTCCGACTCCGCGCCGTTATAGGTAGGCTAATATTTCTAATGAGTTATGCTAACTTATATTGAGCATTTTACGTTTCCATTACTGTTACGTCGTTTGTTACAAATATTGTCCCGTATAATGAACCGTTTTAGACTAATATATAACAAAACGTAACGTCTGTGAATAAGTTGGAATTTTTAAAATCTATTTCTTACGTTTTATATTTCAATTTTAGCGTGTCAATCAGGAGAAATTTCTTGTGATGTTTCGAGATGTATTTTACAATCACAACGATGTGATTTCAAGTCAGACTGCGAAGATGGTAGCGACGAAGCTGGTTGCAGATATCCGAGTGAGTTTATTTCTATATTGTTAAGTTTTCTGATTAAATAATACCTAAAGTACGAATGGTAAATTGTGATGATTATTATTAAATTATAAATTTGCAAGCTCTGCAAGAATTATCATGCAAAAGTCAAATGTTTTACATTCACTGAGAATATGAGCCTTCACGTCATGCATATTGAAATTCATTATTAAATAAAAAAGAATTATTTCTAATTGAGCATTTAGTGAAATGAACAGTATATTCCGTATCTATGCACGAATATTGATTTTGTCTTCGCGTACGGGGTATCTTACAAAATTAGAATAAGTTATGTATTATTAAAAGAAATGGTGTTAATTGATTTACAAATTCTACTTACCTCCTCTCGATGTCGCAGATCTGTGGTCGGTAAAGATGTTGAGCTTCGGACGATAAACGAAAGATCGATTTTTTTTAAGATACCGCAGAGTTCGCGGTTGCCGATTATGGTCCTTACATTTTATAGAAACATAATTTTATTGTTAAATAAATAAATGATTGCGGTTAAAGGGATATTTCCAACTAATATATTTATCTGATATTCAAGCATTACTGACATTGATAAGAAATTCTCGATGAAAATCATGAATCATTTTGAAATTGGATTTAATACAGGCATAATTGAATTTTAAATTTGATCGAATATGCACGGAAATAGTATCGGGTGAAAATGAAAAAGGTCGAATAGTTGAGCAGTGACCACGCAGTGATAAACGAAACTATAATTTTTCGCGTTCCTTTTCTTCATTAAATATCACTTTGAAAACCAATACGCTTCGTATGTTTCAATCAACAGTTTCTAAACGCATACGCATACTGAAAACTTGTATTGAAACAATGGAAAACTTGATTGAAACTGTTATGCGCGCAAAGACGCGCGCGGCGCGCTTTTATCGGAAATGCAAATATTGAAGTACGCACTGTAAATCAATATAAATGCATCGCGAAGTATGTGCTGTACGAGCTTTTGAGTAGTTTATGGGACACTTAAGTATTTTTTTCCTTTTTTTCTCGAAAGATTCAAAGTGAAAATTGCTCAACGTGCTTGCGCGAGTGGATAGTTGTTAAATCTAGAATAGTTCTGTTTATAGCTTCTATTTCCAGAAATGCTCGCAGCGAGCGCGCGCGCGCGCGTGTCGCCCGCGGAGGCCGAAAAGGCCAAAGCTGCCAAGCCCGTCACGTGTTTCACTTTCATTAGGACTAATTAATACAAATCTTTCGGATAAGCGATGCTCTTTGAGCTTATAATAAATCACGAATAGCCGCATGCTAACCACGTCAGCTAAAAATATTCAAAGGAGCGGGAAAGAAAAAAAAAAACGATCGGATGGCTTGCGAGTCGAGCGGGAGAGGCTTGATGATTAGTCGATCTCAACACGTTAAATAAGGTCAGCAGCTGGCGAAGCTGTCGGTTGCCGTGGCTGCGTCGCCGGCTGTGCATTAGAATGCCGTACTGATGAATATTCAAAAAATGTCGAGGGCTTTTTGCTCGTGGTCTTGTTCTCATCCGCGAGCTCGCTCGCGCGCGCAAAAGACGTTGCTGCAGTCTCTCTTTTTTTACTCCTCTCCTTTTTATATGCCAAGCAGATCGATCGCGCGATGCACATTATGGACCTCTCGTGTGCATGTACTTCTCGCCGCAGCGTATATACTTCCGACAAATTGAAAAAGAGGCTGAAGAAAAGCCAAAAAAAAAAATAAAAATTCTCGATCACTCTCCTAAGGTCGTTCAACTTCTTTTTTCGTCCGATGGATTTCGTCCTGCGCGAATCCACTACAGCGCCTCTTTCGGTCTTTCTTTTTCCTGTCGCTTGCCAATTTCCAGCGTCACGCAGCAGTGACAACTGCTTAAAAAAACCAGGAAGCTAATACTTATGAACCCGTTGTGTGCACGACTCGCGCGATCGATAAGACGTTGAGCTTTTCCGCGACATCCGTGCTTGGCTAATTAATATCCCAAATGCTTAATGGGCCATTCGTTTCCTCCCTCCCCCCTCTTTTTTAGACTTCTAGCTCACTTTGCCTGCTCCCTCGTCGTTTGCATTATTCAATTTCCGCAAGGCGAAAGCTTACCTTTCGCGAGTATTGCCGAGCGATAAGAGGTTTGGTTACGAATCAAGAGTTACGCTTCGAGGAAAACATACAATCCCAGCGTAGCCGCGCCGGCAATTTCAAGAGCATGTGCCTACAACCGGGCTATAAAAGTTGAAGTGATACACGTACACATTCATTGAAGCACGCGCCTCGCTCCGCGAGTGGGCCATAGAAGATTGCAATGAAATACCGTCATGCGATGATGATGGGGATTCCCGCGGTTCAGTTTGGACTGCTTCTCTTCAATTTATATCTCTTACGACGCGTTACTTGAAGGCTTCGTTCGACCAGCTTTCAACAAGCTCGTAACTTTTAATTCCACGCGATTGGGAAAATGATGCGTGCGCGTTAATAAAAAAAAAAAAAAAAAAAAAAAAGTAAAAAAAATGATACGTTCCAAGGCGTGCGCGCCTGCGCTGTACGCGCGCGTACGAATTTCACTGGGATTGAAAAGCGGTACAGTCAGCGTAACGCAGAGCGCAGCCAGCACGTGCGGAGTCGCATTCCTGTGCCGCGCAGCGCGGAGCTTCGAGAGACACTCGACGCGCGCGTCTCTCGAAAGGCAGTCGGGGAGCGGGTTGCGCGCGTCCGCGTACACAATCGAGTCACGAAATTCGCGTCGAACGCGCCGCGCGGTAATCGTGTCCGAGGGTGGCAGAGTCGCTGTCCGTCGATCGCGGAGAGATGGGGGGCGCGACGTCAGGGGAGCAGCAGCAGCGCGACGACGAAACGCGCGATCGCGAGTCCGGGGCGCCGCGTAATAACGCTTTTGCGGGCGGGCGCAGCGATATTTAGAACTTGCCGGCGCGCAATGACACTGCGGCGGGGCGAGGAAAAGACCAGATTGCTGGGCGTTACCGACTCTACGTCGCGCACTTAGCATCCCTTTGCCTCTCTCTAATTTACCCCCCGTTGCTGCTGCTGCTGCTGCTGCTGATGCGATATCCGACTTTTTGCAATTTACCGCTCTCCGAGCTTCCGTTCCAAATCTCTTTTCAGTCGTTGCGTCGCGCGGACAATCTCGATTGCTCGTGTAGTTTTTTCGTTGTCTATTGTGGTGCTTTCGGTGAGCGAGTCGGAGGGAAATCGAGCGGTAAGATTTATCGTAAGTTTTAATTGGGTATGCGTAGCCTGCACAATACTCTCGTCGGAAAGTTATGATTGAAAATTATTGCGGACGTTATCGCATCTCCCTTCTTCCATCTTCTCTGTAATGCCGTGCGACGAGCCACGCACAGCTGCAGATCCGCGACTTTTTGCCGTACGTTCGTTCGTTCCCGACGCAGTTTTTACTTCGCGTCGATGACAAACGTTGCGCAGCACTCTGTGCCGTGCTGCTTTAAATAAGTCGCAACAGCGTTGTCAAATTAATATTGAAGCTTCGCGCGCTAGATGCGAATCAATAATGCAAAGCCGAGCGCTTTCGTCGAACCGAGAATCGGCGTGGCTCCGCGCCGGTCAACCGCGACTGCAGCTTGCCGCCGTGGCGTAATAATAGAAGCCGACGAGGACACAATCCGTCCGAGTACGTTGCGCAGGGCGTGAGCGTCCGAGTGCCGCGCTTAGGACTGGTCAAATGCACGTCGCGTCTAATAATAGTCGACGAGCGCGGCAACGCGTGCAGTCCAGCCGGCAAGGCGCGATAAGCGCGACTCGTAAAGGGAAAAGCACGAGGGGGCCCCGCGCGCGCGACACGAAAGCCTCGGCTGATTAGCCGCGCCGTGGAAATTCTCGGCCGCGGCGCGTTCTTCGCTCTACGCGGGCGGACAGAGCGTCGATTCGGCTCGCGCGCGCGGCTCGGACTGCCCCGGCAAATCGGAAAAGTTTTAAATAAAGTAAGTTTTTTGAAGCGTGCCCTTTGCATTCGCCGACGCGCCAAGCGAAAACTCATTGTCGACCCGACACGTCTCACGCACCCACTCTTCTCCGCCGCGCCGTTCTATTTATTTATTCAGCTCTCTCACTCCCTCCCTGCCTCCCTCCCTCCTTGTGCCGCGCCTCTCCATGCTAATCGTGTCTCTTTCGCTCTTGCTTGCGCTGTACGATCACCTTCGACGCTTCTCCTGGTGACGACGCTTGTCGTGACAACTGTCGATGGCGGCGTCACCATTCATGACAGTCGTGTAACTTTCGTTTTATGAACACTGATTGATCGCTCTGCCTTTTGGGAAAAGACCAGCTTCTCCTGACCACTTTGACACGTTGATGTGTTTCTAGAAAAACAGGTTTTCGAAATCTCCCGTCGAAAATGCAAGTGTATCGTTGATTTGTCGCGTCCGTACCGTGAAAACAACAAGCCATTCGGCCTGCTTCTGTCGTTCTCCAACAGCTCGACGACGTACAAATCGGAATTTAATAATCGACAAAGGAACTGAATGAGACGCGAAGGCGTTTTCTAAATTAGAGTTTCCTTGTCGACCGATTAATCTGTATTGCCCGTCCATTCGAGACCAACGTAGTTTCTCGGCTCGTCGCTCGTAGATCAATTGCATGGACTTTTTATGCCGTACAGTTGTCATACGTTAATTATTGGAAATTCTACGCGCTCGCCAATAATCGGAAGCAGCCATGGAGATAACATATCCCGATTTAATATACATAGAGATATATAGGAGTAAGAAATTCTTAGTTTGAAGACGGATGACAGATCTGGTGAAATTTCTATAATACCAACGTCTATTTTCAGAAATGAAAGCGATGCAAGCGTGAATATTTCATTTTATGTTTGAGTACAAACTATCTCGCGCGCCAAAATGCCGAGTTCACTTTGGGAAAAATCCCACTTGTCAAGTCCGATCAGCAACGATCCAATGCTTATAAAGCTGCTCGGCTCTAACTGCACGCTTTCCTTCGCTGATGCATTCATTGGACAGTTGAATTGTTCATCGCTG